CTCCTCCACTTCTCCTCCCGGCTGGATATCCATCTTCTCCTTACCCTTCTCCATTCTCTGCTTATCCTCTTTCGACCTCGACCCGCCTGGTCGATTAACCTCCTCGTCCTTTGACTTGGCCTGCCTCTTTGCCAGTTGCTTATTATTGCTCACCGTTGTTTGATAGCAACTCCTCGAAGTGAGTTGGTCCCCTGCAATCTCCCATACGTTTTCGCCCACAGGATACTTGATCGTCATGTGGTACGTGGATACGACCGCCTGGAACGCATTCAAGCTCGTCCGCCCCATGATGATGTTATAAGATGATTCGGCTCCTACGACCACAAATCTCACCATGCGCACCTTCCTCAGCTCTCCTGCTCCCAATGCCACTGGCAAGCTTATTTCGCCCATCGGCACCTCTCCTCCATTAAAACCATAAAGTGTCGTGGTCACCAGTTTCAACTCCATATTCAACTCTAAAGTTGCCGTTATTTGAGATAGTTTTTTTTTTTTTTTTGCAGTGTGCCGCTATTTGTATTCATGTGCAATTTAGCCGCTAAATTCTGTTAAATCTCCGCTATAGCTCCGCTATAGCTACAGTGCCATAAACGTTTTAGCACACTATTTAAAACCTTGCAAAATAGATCTGAATAGATGAGTATGCGAGTTCTCACAAATCCGACATTTCTACGCTACAAAATCCATCAAGTTTTCGAGAACAATCGCAGAGTTCTCAAAACTGGTGCTAGAACACCATGGCGCTTTGAAATCCGATGTTTCTTTGCATAACACAGATCGTAGAGATTTGAAATCGGGCATTTTTTTTTGCACTAATCGACCTTCTTTTTTTTCTTTTTTGTTTTCGACGCAAGTCTGAGCCGCCTCGATCTGATTGTAGATTTTTCTTAATTTTTTCTCTAAAACCGCAATGCAACCCAGATAGGTAGCGAGTCTGTCCATGGGGCGGGCCTCAACTTCGAGCTTGAGGAAGCACTCTTGGACCTCACAGGATTAGGCGTCGTGGTCAGCCCAGACGGCGGTGGAGGCACGGCGGACGTCGTACTGGACAGTGAATGAAAATCTGGATCTCGGGGTCATGGTGGATCTCGGTGGGGTGAGTTCCCTTCTACATAGATAATAATATGACTAATTTAAATAAGATCGTGCATGATCCGATATGAATTTTTTGGATAATTTGTTAATTATGGTATTCAGAAATAGCAAGTAAGTTTCTTTCTTTTTTTTTTATTATTTGTTTAACCCTTGATATGGATTTATATGTCATTTGATAAAAAAATGAAACTTTATAGTGGGGGAATGACTTAAAATATTTTCCTTACATTGGGGAGTGACTTAAAATGGCTTAAGCAAGGGGGAATGAAACTTGAACAGGAAATGAAACTTGATCAGGAAATGACTTTACTGTGGGGATTGACTAAAATGAGGAAATGGAGCTTCAAAGATGGGGACTTGTTAATGGCTTCAAATATTGAAACTTTACTATGGGTTTATATTTTTCTTTTGAGATTTTGCTATTTGATGAGAAAATGATTAAATGTGAGAGTGTGGAGAGTCTTGGTTTAGTCAGGCTTTAATGGTGAATAATTGCAATTTGAAACATGATTTTAGCCTCTCGTTTTCATTTGCAGCGATTTGATTTTAGTTTGTGATGTGATCTATCAGTGAGAAATCTGGTTTGTGCACTGTACACATCTTTAGGATTGAATCTACCCTTTGGTTGATGGCTAAAATGTGGGTATTGTTTGCACAGAAATGCTTTATCAAATGGGTTATTATGTGGAAGTGGAAAAAGACTGTCTTTCATGTAAGCTCAATTGAATCATTCAGTTTTTACAGTTCCCATATTTGTCTTGAAAAAGTATAAGAGCCCTAGCAAAAACGTTACTGGATTATCTTATATATGAGCGGATTATGATAAAAAATAATTTTTAGTGTCAAAATAATTATGTTTAACATTGTGTTCTTGAACCTGCACAATAGTAACATTCTGAATATATGTGCATCCTAATTTTGTTTAAAACATACAAAATATGTATAATATTGTTACTAAAGTGCACAATATATATATATGTATATATATGTATATATATATATCATGTAAAAACTTACACATTTCATTTTTCATTTAAAACAAAATTATATATAGATGCATAGCTCACAAGTCAATAGCATTTAATTGTTCATCAAGAAATCAATATAGATTCTTTACTTGAGAATAACGAATTAAATTTGTGCTTGTTAATGGCAATTGTTGTATGTGATGCGTGATAAATTCTTCTACGTGTTTGATATTTGGTCCCTGTTAACATTTCTCTAAGTATTTTGATTTCTTTATTCTTTTGTTTTTTCTCCTACTATTTATCTATTGTATGGAATAGACTCAATTGATGTACCATACATGATGTATGTGAAGCAAATTCAAGTTTATGACCTTGGGTGCATCTCATGGGAATTTATTGTTTTAGTGTGATAAAGTATAATTCTTTCTTACATTTACTGTTGGGGTGACTATTTTTTCCTACATTTATTGCTTTGGTGACTTTTGTATATGAACGAAGATTAGTAATCTTTACAACTAGCTTAGTTTCTCATTCCTTGGTTTTGTAGGGTATATGTCCATTTTGGTTGCTACATGAATTGTTTTGGGCACTACAATAAATTATATATCTTTCATATACCAGAGGCTGCCAGTGAGAACAAATTATTCTCTGTGTGTTTCTCTGTCATGGCGTTCACATACTGTTTAGACTTTATAGCACAACAATCTCTTTTCTGCTATCACAGTTCTAATGTGGTTTGACTATAATCCTGCCTTCACATTCCTACTCTTCGAGTACAGAAAGGAGTAGTCCTCCGCCCAAAGGTGCTCGTTGAGCCGGTCTCCAGATGGCGCTCATCATGGCATTCACATCCTGCTTAGACTTTATAGCACAACAATCTCTTTTCTGCTATCACAATTCTATTGTGGTTTGTCAAATTATAGTTTGTTCTGGAAAATTCATCAATTTCACATTGGTTATTTGCTAACTGTTGATAAATGTGTCATTGAATCAGTTTCTCAAGAGAAGCTGCGTGAAAAAGAATCTGAAGTGATTGAGCTTAAGGAGCAAGTTAGTGATTTGAAAGACCAACAGTCAACAAGGTGCGAATATCGACCAACTTATGGCTTTCATGGCTGCTAGTGGGAACAAAATCTCATATTGTTAGCTTTGTTTTTTTTTTTCTTTTTTTTTTTTTTTTTTTTTTT